TTAGGGTTTAGGGATTATAGTTTAGGGTTTAGGGTTTGGGGTTTTGGGGGAATTATGTCTATATAGGGTATACATGTCGATCGTTAATTATCACTAGAGTGGTATAACAGTTTCATCTGGATCCCGAATAATGAATCGAATAGTCCTGGCGATGCAAGCTATAATAATAACTACGACATGTGCTGGTAGTCGAATATCTAATCTGGGTTTGTACGGGGCTGAGAATAATTGGGATTTTGTTTTCGAGTTTAGTGGTGAAACTATAAAATGTAATCAGGTTTTGACATCCCATGCCAGGCTAGGGTCCTTGAGTATCATCCGTGCCAATTCGGCCTCCAAGAGAGCATCATCGTTCAGCAGCTCGACCGAACCGGTATCGGAACACTGATCATCCATCTTCTGATCGGCATCCTCCATAACCGTCCTGTGCAACTGCTCATAGGTGCCCTGCATGCCATGGTTGCTTGGTGCAGGATTGGCCCCTTCTCCGGACTGTGCTTTCTGGGAATCGCGGCTGATGGTTACCCCTTCTCCGGTCTGTGCTTTCTGAGAATCGCTGTTGACGGTGGCGCCTCCTTCTCCGGTCTGTGCTTTCTGGGAATCGCTCTTGATGGCCCCTTCTCCGGTCTGTGCTTTCTGGGAATCGCTGTTGATGGCCCCTTCTCCGGTTTGTGCTTTCTGGGAATCGCTGCTGATGGCCTCTTTCTCGAAATCGAGGGTTTTGACGGGCTCGGGGTCCACATATGGATCCAACAAGGTCTCCTGCATGCTCTCGGCTTCTGTTTCCCAGTCTTTTGAGGATTGGCCGATCATGCGCTGGGTCTCGGTCATCTCGAGCTCCGGCAGCGGCTCCAAATAGTCATCACGTTGTGTAGCCATCTCAGTGTCATTGTTGACATCGGCATTCACAAAGGGCTCCTGTAGCTGATCATCGGCACACTCATCTAACTGACCAGGTGCAGGAGCTTCCTGTATCTCATCCCCCATAGGTGCCGGTAGGTCATCAGGCCGACTAGGGAGTCCTGTCAAGACTTGGTAAGCAGCCTTTTGCGAAGCATCCATTTGGTGCCACAATTCAAGCTTATCCGAGAACTCCGAAGCAAGGGCAGCACCGTTGGTTCGCAAAACATTCAGGAGCTTGTGGATGCAGCAGCCGGCTCTGGTAGCTGCTGAAACGACCATGGCCTCGAGCTCCTTGGCTTTGCCAGTCAGGCGATTTAGCTCGCCACTGAGCCACTTCTGCACAGACTCCTGGCGCTGTTGATCATCCGGCTTGCCCTCCAAGATCTTCTTAGCTGCAATCTCGGCTGCAGACTTCCTCTTTAGCAACTCATCACCATAAGCTTGCTGCCTGTCGATGGCACCCAAAGCCTCGAGCACACATTCCTTGCAGCTCATCACCATCTCATACAGCTTCTCAGTGAACTCAGGCGCCACGATGTCATCGGCACTTGTCTGGCTTTCGATGAAGTCATTCAGGAAGTAGTCCTGAATCCCCCGAAGCCCATACGACATCAAACGTGGACCGGTCTCTGCATCCATAAAGAGCAAATCGTATGATTGTGCATCCATATGCAAGAACTCATCCAAGTAGAGGGGAAGTCGAGTATCACATGTGATGCTGCTGGAGGACCACTGCAAGGTTGGCTGGGAATCAACGTGGTGTATACCTGATCGGGTACGTATTGATCATAATGATCATAGCATGAGTTATCAAGGAACTAGATCTAGATAGCTATCCACGACCGGTGGAATTAAACTACACACACCCTGGGGCTTCGCTATGAGTTTACAGGCTTGCAATAGCATAGGGCTATAAGGGTTCAAGGTTTAGGGTGTTTAGGGGTTATATCTA